TGTATTATTAGTTATAGACTGTGCAACTAGGTATAAAGATTTTGTTTTTTTAACATCAAAGAGTAGTGAAGAAGTTGCAGAAGCATTTAAGAGTATATATGATAACCCCAACAACCCTTTTAACTGGCCTCGGCTATTGCAATCTGATCAAGGTCGTGAGTTTATAGGAAATGTGATATTGATAATGAATGAACATAATGTTAATATCTAAAGAATTAAAGCACGTTTTAGACATACAAGCATGGCTATGGTTGATCGTTATACCAGATTATTCGAATTAAGAGTTTTTAAAAACCAGTATGCGATAGAGTTTCTCTTACCTACCGGTGAACTCTGTAGAGAATGTGAACGGTTTGCATGAAAGATTATTGACAATATAAATAATACTCCAACTCAACTAATTGGAATGAGTCCTAATAATGCCATGAAACTTGAGCGGATATATTCTAAGCCATCAGTAAAATATAATCATCCAATAGGTGTTAATGAACTACAACTACCAAAGGGTACTATTGTGCGATTCTTACTTGCTAAAGGAGAATGGGAAAATGATCTCTTTGAACGATGCAGGATAACAGATCCCGTATAGTCTCCTTCCTTACATAAAATTCGAAAAATTGTTGTTGGGAGAAATCCACCAATGCCTGTCTTATACTATTTAGATGAATCAGGATCTCAGCGTCTCTTTGTAAGAGAACAATTAATGCATATTAAGGAAGAGCCTATGTTACCCCCTAGGTGGGTACTGGGAGATAACTGAATGCGTACAAGACGCTTTTTATAAAAGTTTTTAAGTCAACTATGCAATAGGGTATTGTAATAAGGATTACTCCTTCTCTATAACAGAATGCTCTTTTTTTCCAATCATGCCAAATTTGCGCATCTAGATTCATTTGTCCTTGTGGATGAAAAAAAGGCACGATTTGGTAATGTTGATTACCACTATATTCGAAGGCCAAATGTAATTCCTCATTATACCCATCAAGCTGTAAACCTTTTAAAAAT